CAGACAAGAGATCAGCCGTCACCAGGAGCGAGCGCGAGGGAGGAGCAGTGATGACCTGTTGACCGGGCGGGCGGACCCCAGGGAGGATGCCCAGGGCGGTGAACACCTCTATGCGATACTGCGGCAGGGGTGGGGGGTGGGGCATCTGCTCTCTCTGATGTCTATTTAGCACGTGTTACGGTAGTGTATTCGCCATTGTATTTGTCAAAACCTGCGGACCTCGACACCGAGAGCGCAGCCTAGCGTGTTTGCAGGGGCCGCGGCGTCCACACGGGCTCCCCGGACACGGTGCCCACAGCACTCTGGGCCAGGCAGCAGCAGCGGACCACGCGTGTGTGCAGCGGCCCGGCAGGACACGTAGGGTCACTCTTGGGAGCCCGCGCGCTCCATCCGCTGTGACCCTGGAAGCGCTCCGGCAGGGACAGCCCCGTTCTTTCACAGCTGAGCTGCAGAGTCCAGAGCCCCCGGCCTCCCTCCCTCCAGCCCGCAGCGAGGGGCGGCGCCTCCACAAACCACAGAGCGCAATCACGGGCTGGCCCCTTCTCTCCCCTTGGCGACTCAGGGCAGGTAAGGAACGCTCTGCCAGCCGACAAAGCAGCTGCCGGCTGAGTGAGGCTTTGGCCTTCGGTTGTAGGCTGCTAACAAAAACGTCCTACTTCACCCTTTAGCCACCGGGGCCAGCAGACCAGAGCAGGAGCCTGGCAGAAGAGGCCCGTCGGTCCTGTTGGGTGGTGCTGTGTGACGTCCAGCCAGCCACTTGCCCTCTCTGATGCTGATGTGCCCTCCCTCTCTGCCACATCTGGCTGCCCCAGGGTTCTTCTCCAGCTGTGATGACAGCCCAGATAGACACTATTAAAACCTGATAACAACGCCTCTTTCAGGCAGCGATGTGCACCTTTTTACAACTTTTTTTTTTTCCATTTATTTCTTTGAAAGAGAGATTGGGAGAAAGATTTTCTATGCACTGATTTGCTCCCCAAATGACCACAACAGCCAGGGCTGGGCCAGGGAGAAGCCAGGAGCCTGGAACTCAGTGTGTGGGGGGGGTGCTGGCAGGAACCTGCTTGTAAAAATTAAAAACTGAACTTCAAACAGGAGGACATAAGAGGGGCGGAGATGGCAGGGGCTGTCCTGAGTTACAGGCGGACACCAGGCTGGCCTAGGTCAGAAAGTTCCAACAGACACTGGGCCTGGATGAGCGGGAAGCTGGGCGCCTGTTTTCCCAGCCGCTGGCGCCGGTGTCCTGGGCACAAAGTAAGGGGGTCAGGGCTTGAGCTGCAAGTGCTGGGACTAAAGATGGCCTTGGGATGACAATGGTGGTGACGTCACTGTGGCCTTTCAGCCAGCCAATGAGAAGGTGTGGAGCGGGGACCCGGGAGAATGCCTGCGAAAACAACACCACTGGTCTGCAGCCCGGCAGGCAGATCTGGGCAGGGAGGTGGAGGCTAGAGGAAGATGGATTTTGGCTCAGCGCAAGGAGGCTGCAGCCCGAGGCAGCAGGTGCTACAAGGGAGCCTGCAGGGGGCGCAGATGAGCATGGGGTGACAACCCCTGGGAGGGAACACTGCGGGAGAATTTCGCCCTGCACCCATTCGCCTTTGAGGCTCTGCCACCTTTGCAGAGCTGGCCTGGGTGAGCCTCCCTTGGCCTTTGCACGAACAGGTGGAGAATACTGACCCAGCGAGGCTGAGTGATGTGAGACCTGGGTACTCCCCCAGATCATAGTGGTGCAGGCAGGAGGCTCACCAAGCTCAGCTGTTCCACCGGCCTCTGATCTGACCTTTGGCATCTCCCAGGCCTCCTGGAACTAGGAAGGATCAGAAATCTCCCTTATAACCTCCCAACTCCATCCAGTCTCTCCACCCCACAACGGCCGCTTTGCTTCCAGGCCACATCCTCCATGCCCTGAACCGTCCAGGATCAATCTGCCAGTCTCACAAATGTTCCCCCCCCCCCCCGCAACTGTGCCTCATCTCTCTCTACAAGTCAGGGGTGCTCAACTTTATCCATGGGAATCCCCACCAAAACGTTAAACATAAGGCCAGAATAGTCAAGAGGGTGTGGCGTAAGGAAAGACGAAGAGACCAATGGGACAGAAATAAACCCCCAATCTCTATGGCCAACTGAACAAAGTCCCAAGACTGCCCAATAGGGAAAGGACAGTCTCTTTAACAGCTGGTATCCATATGCAGTAGAATGAAGTTGGACCCCTACCTCACACCATACAAAATTCACTCCAAAAGGATAAAAGAAGCATAGGGATAAACGTTCATGATCTTGAATTTGGCCATGAAGTTTTAGGTCAGATACCAAAAGTACAAGCAACAAAAGAAACACTAAACTGGAGCCCAAGTGTAGGCTCTCCTTTGACAGCCAGGCCTCTGCCCCCTTCCTCCTGCTGTCGGATCCCAGAACACATCATCGGAACTGGCTCAGCTTGCCGCCCGGGGCTGGCTGGGGAGACGGACCCCGGGAGACTCACCTTGCTGCTTGAGTGCGGCACTGTGTGAAAGGCTGGGTGGGGAATCCAGGCCGCTGTGCGTGCACGTGGGGGCCAAGCGGTGCTGGGCCGGGGTTGCCGCTGCACACACACACGGTCCTTGGGCCAGGAGCCCTGTGTTCGCGTCTTGCCTGGCTGCTCTTTAGGCATGCAGCCTGGAAGCCTTTCACTGTCTTTGTACCCCAGGTGGCTGCACCTGCAAACGGCTGATGGGTGCCTGCCTCCCAGGTGTGGGCGTGATGAAGATGGCTGGCAGTGGCATGCCAGCTGCAGGATAAAGGCTCAGGAGGAAATGTTCCCACGGGAGGTGGCCCCGAGCCCCAGGGTGGCAGACAGGGAGCTGACGCAGCCCAAGCCCCTCTCGCAGCCCGTTTTTAGCTCCCACGCTGTAAGAGGCATGTGTCTCCGGGGAAACTCTGCTCCTTGTTCACAAACACCAGGCTCTGTAATCCGAGAGCATCAGCCTCCTCAAAGAGATCACCTTGGGAGGCCCCGTTACTCCAAAGGGGTTGCCACTGGCGCTGCCCTCATGCTCACAACCACCTGGCCAAGGGGTATGCTGTTTGCCTATTTTATTGATGGGAAGACTGAGGCTGCCAGGTGGTCCTATCATTCACCCAGGTCAAACAGCTACCAAAGGGCCAAGCTGGACTCAGCCTCCACCCTCCTGGCTGGGACGCCCCGCAAGGCTTTCCCAGGGCAGCCCATGCCTCTCTGCCCGTGGCCTGGGGCTCTCTTTCTGCTTTCCCTGTGACTGTAGCTTGTTTTGCTAAGCTGAGCCGGTCGGCTCCCTGGGCTCCTCCTGGAAGAGCAGCCCCCCACTGCCCGTTCCGTACTTACAGAGCTGTCTCCTCTCCTGCCCCAAGGCTTCCTCAATGGAAAAACAGTCGGCACTGCAGGCCTAAAGCTCGCCCAGCCCCCCTGGTGGGACCAGGCTCTGTGAGGAGGCAGCTGCAGGCAGCAGTTTACAACCAAGATCATCACCAGAGCTGGGGGAGCTGCAGGGCACAGACGCGGACAGGGCACAGCGAGCAGAGCAGGCCCCGCGCCTCGCCACCCTCGCCCCTGCCCACGCAGGCCTTGGCCTGGCCCTGCTTTTGGGATGCAGCCTAAGGGAACCCTGGTGGGGCCAGCAGTAAGTGTCAGGCCAGTGGCTAACACGTGGCTTCCTCACCCTGGATGGGGGCCGGAGGAGAGAGAAGGCTCCGGCATTGCTTTTCAGTACACATGTCCCCGTGTACCCCCCCGGGGGGGGGGAGAGGGAGATAGCGGTGGGGGGTGCAGGGAGCACTATACGCGGGACGGGTGTGGGCAGATTGTGCGGGCTGCCTCAGTTTACCTTTCCCCGGAACAAGCAGGGGGAGCCTAAGTAGGTGTTATGCTCCCCTTTGGGAGATCAGAAAGCCAAGGCCCACAGGGTTTTGTGACATGCCCAAGGTTAAGGAGAGAGAGTGAGAGGGAGAGAGAATTCTAGGACAGGAAACAGACACGTTTCATGCTTTCTCAGGAAATGCAAGTGCAGGGAGGTGATTTGGGGTCATTTTTAACCTAAAGCTTCAAGGCCCAGGGCTGGGAAGCAACAGATGGGAGAGCCGCAGGCTCAGGTGGTGGCTCCGGACCCTGACTACAGTACCCAATGCTGCGTGACCTTAGGCAAGTCACTCAGCTTTCTCCCCGCGCGGAGGAATACTCGCAACCACAGGAGGCGCACCGTGACCACAGGAGGCGCACCACGCCCACTCTGGTCCCCTTAGCCCGTTCGACTCCTATGCTCAATAGGAATTGTGCCCCAGGCACAGACCCCAGAGCACGTCTCCCTGGAGCCTCCAGACCCCGCCCCACCCCCTCTGCCTCCTTGCTGCCCCCAACCCTGCCCCCACCCTATCACTTCCTCCAGTCCTGAGGGTTGGGATTCCAGTCCCAGCTGCCTCATTGCACTGACAAGGAAACCAGGCCCAAGGAGGAAAACAATGTGCGAGGCACACTGGTGGCCGGGGCCAGCCAGGGGACGGAAGCCCTGGCCCAGGACACTGCCGCAAGCCCACTCAGCTCCACCCACATCCCAGGGTCATGGGCAGCCCAAGGCCGTTCCACCCTCACTTCTCCACCAAGCGTGGTCGCCTGTTCCAGGCCTTGGGGATTTGAATTCCATCCAAGAGGGTTCTGGGGGTGGAGTTCTGGATGCTTCCCACATGCCAAGACTGGTGCAGGTGGCTGAGGGCAGGGAGGGAGGGGCGGGGCGTGGGGAGCTCCTGCCCCTGCTCTAGGTGCCCTCCCGTGATTCCCCAGAACTTGGCTTTTCCCTTGCAGGTTTCGCTCTCTTCCACTGATTGGCTCCCACTTCCTGATCAAGTCTCTGCCCCTTTACCCCTGGTAAGCATGTGGGGGGTGGGACAGGACAAGCCCAGAAGGGTGGGTCTGCAGGGCAGGGAGAGGAGGGAGACGTGGGGACATGGGTGTTGGGATGCAAGAGAGGCCGCCCCGTGATGCTCGGTCTTACCTCTGCCAACCGGCACCTTCCGTTGCCGCCCACGGGGGCCAAGGGTCTCCCCAGCTCTCCTCCTGATGCTGGCCTCAGGATAAACCCTAGAAGGAGACAGAGAGACTTTTTTAACAGGCAAGGGTCTGTGGGGCACGTGACTTCCGGGGGCCAAGTCCGTCCACACGTGGCTGCCTGCCCTCCTCTCTCCTGGCAGGTGCAGAAGCCACGCAGTGTCCCTTTGCCTGGAGAAGCAGAGTTGAGCCCTGAGCCCTGACATGGCGGGGGTAGGGTGAGAGGGGTAGGGGGCAGGGGTCCCACAGCACTGTCCATCTTCCCAGGTCAGCCTCAGCTTGCACACCGGCCACGAGAGGCCATCGGACACGCTAATGAAAACACCACAACGCGCTCCTCCGCCACCAGCTGGAGCGTCTGCAACTGGTGCCCAGTTTCCTCGGGCGGAGAGAGATCTTAGTGGGTCATTTGGAAAAGGGGGCAGAGAATGAATGCTTGCCCGAGAAGGGTGGGCTGTCCAGGTAGACCAACACTTTGAAGACCGGCATCCAAGAAGAGAGGAATAATAAGAGGAGACGGCTTTGGTGGTGAGAAAATTACTCAGTCCTAGCATGTGGGAGCCAGCAGTCCGCCCTTCCTACTCTGCCCCCATCGGGTTGACGAAGACTCGCCAGGTCACAGGAAAAGGATCCAGTTTACGCGGTCCACACCACCTACTGCCTGACTGAGAGCCAGCTCGTTCACAGGTACCGGTGAGAAACAACGGAGCAACCCTCCCTCCAGGGCGGTGCCAGACCCTCCTCCCCTGATGATGAGCACAGTGGGGCTGCCAGAGGAAGCCATAGCCAAGTTCATGAGCTCCTGAGTAACAGCAGCAGCCCCGATGCAGTCCCGATACAGCCCCGCTTTGCGGAGAAGGACCCTGGGCTCAGAGCTCATCAGTAACTTGTTGCCCAAGGTCTTGTTACTGAGATGCAGCAGCCAGGGCTGGTGTTCAGGCCACGGGAAGTGGAGCCTGGTGCCAGGGCCACGCCCACAGCAAGGGGAGGTTCAAGCAGCAGAGCTGTGAGGTCACCGTGTACTCCACAGTCCCCCGCATCAGCACCCACATCCCTCAGCGCTCCTGGGAACTGATGAGGAAGAGGCCTTGGCTGGAGGACGTGGCCCTGGGTCTATCTGGCTCCCTGCAGTGGTTTGGACCTGAAGTGTCCCCCACGGGCTCATCTGTTGGAAGCTGGGTCCCTGGAGTGGTAACGCCAAGAGGTGGTGGCACCTTTAAGAGGTGGGGCCTGGTGGGAGGTGGCTAGGTCACTGGGGGTGTCGCCCTTGGAAGGGATTAATGCAGCTCCCTGGGAACCCTGTTGGTTCTGGGGGGCACTGCCCCTGCTGCCCAATTCCTTGCCATGTGAGCGCTTCTCTTACATTTTCTTCCACCATGGCGGCATCTACCCCACGATGCAGCCAAGGGGGATCCTCCCCAGAGCTGAGCAGCCAAGGGGGTCCTCCCCAGAGCCGAGCTGGTGTCAGCCCCATGCTCTTGAACCTGCAAACCTGTCAGCTAAATAAACCCCTTTTCTTGATCAAGTTCCAGTCTCGGTTCTTTTTTTTTTTTTTCCTTTTAAAGCTTTTATTTATTTATTTGAGAAGCAGAGTGAAAGACAGGCAGAGACATAGAGAGAGAGAGAGAGAGAGAGGTCTTCCATCTGCTGCTTCATTCCAAAATGGGGACAACGGCCAGAGCTGAGCAGATCCGAAGCCAGGAGCCAGGAGCTTCTTCTGGGTCTCCCATGCGGGTGCAGAGGTCCAAGCACTTGGGCCATCTTCTACTGCTTTCCCAGGCCATAGCAGAGAGCCGGGTCAGAAGTGGAGCAGCCGGTATTCAAACTAGTGCCCATATGGGATTCTGGTGCCACAAGTGGAGGCTTTACCCACTATGCTGCAGCACCCACCCAGCCTCGGATCTTTTGTTCTAGTAACAGAAGATGGAGCGAGACACTGGTTCTTCCTCAAAGGTCCACCCAGACTGTCAGGCTGGGGCAGTCCCAGGCACAGGACTGTGCTCCATATGAACATGTGCACGCACATATCCATACACGCATTCAAACACAAACATGCACGTATCCGTACATTCACATGTGTGCACATATCTGCACACGTACTCACATGTGCACATGCACAAATCCATACAGGCACTCACACACGCACGTGCACATATCTATACACACTCACATGCACACATACATATCGGAACATGCACTCACACACAGGTGTGCACATATCTGTACACACATTCATAGTGCACATATCCATACGCACACTCACACACATGTGCACATATCTATACACACAGTCACACGCACACGCTGCACTCACGTGCATGCAATTATCCATACACACACTCACATGCATACACATGTCTGTACACACACTCTCACACACACGCACATATCCATACACACACTCACATGCATACACACACATATCCATACATGCACTCACACACGCATATCCCTATATGCACTCACACACACGCACATATCCATACATACACTCACATGCATACACACACATATCCATACATGCACTCACACACACATCCCTATATGCACTCACACACATGCACATATCCATACATACACTCACATGCATACACACACATGTCTGTACACACACTCTCACACACACATATCCATACACACACTCACATGCATACACGCACATATCCATACATGCACTCACACTCATATATCCATATGCACACTCACATGCGTGCACATATCCATACATACACATGTTCACATGTCTGTACATGCACTCACACACATGTGCATGTATCCATACAAGCACTGACATGTGTATATGCACTGACACATGCACACACACTTATCCATACATGCACACACACACACATATCTGTACGCACACTCACACATGCACATGCGCACTCACAACAGTGGACACTTGTCCTTCCTAGGTATCTCGGGTAACTGAATCGCTGCAGACACTGCCTGGGGACCCTCGAGACTCTGGTCCACCTGATCACGTGGTATGCACGTGTGTGAGCAGCTGCTTCTGTGGGCACGCATGCAGACGGCATGAAAGTCACACAAGTGCACCTTCCGAGCCTCACCCATTCCACACCGTCATGCGTCGGCAATGTCATGTTCAGCCAGGACCCAAGATGGCCCCAGTCTCAGTCATGGTGCAGAGCGTGGGGACCCAGTGTAGGCACTACTTACTGAGCACCATCGGGGCCATTGCAGCCTCGTCCCGTGACCCCTGGGCGCCCAGCGTGTGCTCACCCCATACTGGACAGACACCCTCCCGAAACGCTGTAGTCACTTCAAAGAGCAGGAGGAGGGGAACTACCTTAGCAAATTCTAACTCGGGGCTCTGCCTACAGTTTCCGGTTACCTCTCTATGGCTGGGGGGGGGGGGGGGACTGTGTCCTGGACAAAGGGAGGAGTTGGCCACTTGGCTCCCAAGGAAGTGGGCTGCTCCCGCTGCCTGGGGCCACCCTGAGAGGGGAGCTGCATTTACTGGCTGGGAACTGATAATGAGCTTTTATGGGCTCTGGGGACCGCGCAGAGCGGGGATTAATGTCAGGCGCGCTGGTGAGCGCGCAGCCTGGGTGAATGTCACACAGCAAAGAAATGAAAGGCCCTGGCCAGGCGGGGAGGGAGCCGCGGGCGGCGTGTCGCCTCGCTAACAAACTGACTTCCCAGGTTTGGAGCTGTGGAGCCTTAAGCTGTCTCCAGTCCTGGGTGGCAGGAAAGCAGATCGCTTTATCACCCGCCTGCCCGCAGAGGCAAAATCCAGCACTAATCCTAATGCCCATTTACGCAAATCCGCATTGTGCGAGAGAAGCCAAGCTGGGCTTGGAATTTTTTCCTCCTGAGCTCTGCCTCCAGCCCCTCCACTCCACAGGGGCGGAGGTGGCCACAGAGGGGAGGGCCGGAGCCCTCCTGCGACACAGAGAATGCCAGGGGTTAGAGAGAGGAAAGGAAGCTGGGAAAGACGGAGGTGGGGGGCACCCTTGACCTGAAGACAGAACTGGGGGCAGGAAGACAGGTCAAGGGCAGGGAGCAGCCCGGGCTCTGCCGCCTCTCCCCTGCCATCATCACCTCTCACGCCCCAGATTGGCTCCGGCTTCCTGCCAGGTCCCCGTAAGGTTGGCACATGTTGAAATCTTACGCTGTGCAGCTCTGGCCGTCAGAGGCCTCCCCGTGCCAGGCCTGGGCTCCTCGGCCAGGCAGCAGCCGGGCTCACAGCTACCCGAGTCCTGAGTGCGAATCTCTGTGGATCCTAACCAGACCGTCATTCTACCTCCTTCCAAGAAGGAGAAGACCCCGCTGGTGCATTTCATGATGGCCTTGCTTATTTCACACGGCACATCCTGACTTCAAAGACATCCAAATGGAAAGACAAGAGCGTGCCTTAGAAGCTACAAACTGGGGCCGGTGCTGTGCACAGCGGGTTAATGCCCTGGCCTGAAGTGCCGGCATCCCATATGGGCACCGGTTTGAGACCCGGCTGCTCCACTTCCGATCCAGCTTTCTGCTATGACCTGGAAAAGCACTGGAAGATGGCCCAAGTCCTTGGGCCCCTGCACCCATGTGGGAAGACCCGAAGGAAGCTCCTGGCTCCTGGCTTCGGATCGGCACAGCTCCGGCTGTTGCAGCCATCTGGGGAGTGAACCATCGGATGGAAGACCTCTCTCTCTCTCTCTCTCTCTCTCTCCTCTCTCTGTGTAACTCTGACTTTCAAATAAATAAATGAAAAAGAAGCTACTTACTATAGCAAAGGCTTCCTAAATGGCAGAGGTGGGTGGGATCTCTCTCTCTCTCTACCTTTCAAATAAATAGAATAAAAATTTTAAATAATAGGAATAAAGGGTAATGGATGTGGTGACTACTAGCTAAGACCATATATTTTACAAGATCTACTCAGAAGTTAAAACTTCTTTCTCCTTCCTGCGAAACCAAGGGCTGAGCTCTCAATTCCTAACAGAAACCCCAAGAGCTACGTCACTGGCCTGGATGAGGCCCGGATGAGAACCGCCAAGGTCTGCCCCGTGACCCTTACACCGGAA